GTACACAAGGTGTTAAAGAATTATGAAGACAATGATTTAACATTTATTATACTAAGATACAAAATATGATTTAGAGAAAATGCATGAATAAAACCCCCTTCAGACAGGTTCTTAACCCTCTACCCTCTTTTCTCTCCAACGAACAGCACCTCCCAGTGAAGCCTTGGTCTGCCGTGTGCGTGAGCTCTACAACCGGCGTGTGTCTGACGTGAGGTTCCTTATCCCCGTCCTCACTGGGCTTAGCAAGAAAGAGGTGATTGCCGTCCTGCCAAAACTCATCAAACTCAATCCACATGTTGTTAAAGAGGTCAGTTTGTGTTTTTGTTTGTTAATGTTTATGGAAGGAATTTTCTTTGGTCTGATTATTGATATGATGTCTGAGAAAATGCAACTGGGATTTGATTGGTATTTCTTTTTAGTGCAAAAGATGAGGAAGTTGTGTGTATATTTATTTTGTTTCTTTAGGTATTCAACCGGTTGTGGGGAGTGACATTAGACACAGGTGCTTCTCCGCTGACTCCAGTGGACCTCCTGGTTGCTCTTCATCTTATTGATCCCGACAAGTGTGATGTAAAGACAGTTATCAAAGGTGAGTTGAGGTCTACTTTAGTTGGCTACTTATTGTATGGTTAACACAGGTGCAGGTTCTTGGTCTTGAAGTGAAAAGAAGGAATGGTTTTATGGATTAGAATTTGCTCTCTTGTTCAGCATTGTGCTTTTAATGTAAATTCATGTCATAATAAACCTACTCATCTATCAAACAAATTTTGTTTGACTAATTAATATTTGATTATATGATAATCTCAGCATTAAGCTTTTAATATAACTTCATCTGTCAGACACTAAACCTAAACTCATCTATCAAACAAATTTTGTTGGGCTAATGACTATCTCAGTATATCATATGATTTAGATATGTGAAGAAGTGAGTATATGAATTTATTATCTTGCAGCCACTGGATTATGTTTTGCGGAGCGTGGCATTTATACAGCAGAAGTGTTGGCGTTCGTGCTTCAGCAACTCATGGAACAGCCACAGTTGCCGACACTCTTCATGCGCACAGTCATCCAGACCCTAACGCACTACCCAAAGCTTCTTAGCTTTATAATGAATATATTACAGAGACTCATTATTAAGCAGGTGTGGAATGTGATCTAAATGGTGGTTTATTTTCTTATTTAGTATTGCACTAACAGATGATCATGTGAAATACTTGCTGTCATGTCTAGCTTTAGAAACATCCACTATCTCATCCAGTTTTGGTTAATACTTCTTGCATAAGTATGAATATATATCCATATGTTTTATTAGGTTCTTAATATCTTGCCAATTTTTTATTAAAGGTTTGGAAGCAGAGAAAAGTCTGGGAAGGTTTCATCAAGTGTTGTCAACGAGCCGTTCCTCAGAGTTTCACAGTGCTCCTACAGCTTCCTCCTGCCCAGCTGTCCGATGTATTTAACAGTGCCTCCGACCTTCATTCTCAACTCCTTTCCCATATTGCTACACTCACAGAAAACCAGGTTAGCACGTTGGCCGCAATATAGTGGTATTTTTTCTGAAGGGCTTAGTTCATGGATAATACTTTTTCTTATTATTATTTTCTTTTTTCAAAGTTGGTTGTGTGCTCCTTCCCCACACACATTTTATGACCTGCATTAACATCTTAGAACAACTTCAAATACTTTCACAATAAAGCAATATAAATATATCTTGAGGGCACATACATACTAATAATTCCCTCAATGTATATCCTCCACTCTCAATCGACAGCGAGCTCATATACCAGCCAGCCTGCTAGAAGTTATTGAAGGGCACAATCCATCATCTCAGGGATCCCGGCCAGTTGATTTGCCCCCTTCTGCCCAAGAGGTAAGGCAGTGCTGTTCAGGTCCTGCAGGGATGTAAGATCCGATGAGCCTGTGGATAATAGTATGGTTACTACTTGAAAAAGAGGAAAGTATTGATTAGTAGGGGATAGGGAACAGAATAAGGAAGAGAAACCTGATGTTGGACTTGACTATAGTAAAGTGGTCATATGCTAAGAACCTACTATATATTGATTTTTTAATAATCTGTAATTAACTTCAGGACATCAAATTGTACAACAGTTGTCTGACCACAGTACTGGATTATAATGGCCAATGCATATTTGTATAAATTGATTTGATTCCATATTTTTTTCTTCTTCTTTTACAGATGTAGTCCTTATGGAATTATCCAGCATGTCCAACAGCCTTCCAGTGATGAGAAATTATACAGAAATATGTAAAATCAGTAAAACATATTCCCATTCTCTCTCTTTCTCAAGTCCAACCCTTTTATTCACCAGCCACATAATAATGGCTGCATCATAGCTCATATAGTTGTATGAGGTCAGTACAATTTTTATATTATTTTAACACCTATAAAGCTGATTATAAAGTGATATAAGTGAACTGGATTTTTTTTTCTCCTTAACCCTTTTTTCCAAAGACACGTAGAAGATTTTTTGCTGTAGAGATATATGAACTTGCTCTGCTGTTAGAGCTTGTACACAATGGCAGTATGAAGACAATTGAAAACTTATTTTCAATGCTAAATTTAATAGAAAACTAGCTGCTGGTTCCTGTACTATCTGCTATAGTTTTATGTGAATTTTGGATAGTTCCACAAGTGCTCAGCCACCAAGATTTTCTCATTTCATGATTTTTTGGGAAAATGTTTTTCTAGTACTATTAATATTAATAGTTATTGTTATTGATATTATGATTATTTGAAGGTTACGAAAATATTAATAAAAAAATAAAAGCTGAAAATAAAAGGAAACAAGTAAAAAGGTGAGATGGAAAGATCTAGCAATTGACTTTTATGTGACTAAACACCTGTTGAGCCATCTGTGTGTAAATGCAATAAATATATAAAGTCACACTGAACACAGCATGCATGTCGTGCCATCCTGACACTGTTGGTTTAAATGTATGCATTCTGGTTTCACCCATGGCCTCTGAGCCAGCAAAAATGCTGAAAGGCCTAAACTCGAGGTCTACGGTACACATAAGCATGACAGCGCAAGCCATATCCTGGTAACAGTTGTGGTTATTTTTGTGCCATATATGCTTGTGGCTTTGAAACAGACATGAAATATTGTGGCCTAAATTCCCACAAACGCATCCAGCCACTGTGGAGCAATCCAAGGCAAATCCTAAGTATTAACTACATTAACACTGGGGACAATGGAAGCTATTTCACGAAAGTCTTAAATTTCCATATGATTTTGGGATTTGGTTCTTTCATATTTTAAAGAGAGAACCACAAGATGTACAAAGAAAAGAAAGTTCTTGTTGCAATAACTCGAGTACTAGTTGATAAAATTCCAGTAATGTTACCCAATTTCTTATATTATAAATCATGTGAACACTAAAAAGAAAAAAAATACTAAGAATATGTGGCTGATTATTTTTGCTTTTCCATAAAGAAAGTGTGTTTATTGTAAGTGGACTGGTAACAATATCTGTTCCTTTGTTTAATCAAGTTTGTATGAAAAATGGATGAAATGGTTTGATCTGACTGTTGTGTCATTGTATTTGTTATATAACTCAAAAATATTTTTTTCCCATTACAAAATGGAAAAGAAGCATAAATATTTAAATATGAGGATGGGCTAAAAAATGTAAATATATACAAATACCTTTATTTCAGAATTATCATATATGACAATATCTTAAAATCTGAGAAGCTGAATTACCGTGAATTAGTCTTGTAAAACATACTTTACTCTCAGAATAATAGTATACAAATACTTACAAGAAGTAAACACACAAAGTGTTAAAATGATACTGCACTCTTTTTCTAAACAAAAAGTTAAAATTGATCTAATCATAAAGAGTAATTTCAAGCAATGAGAAAACTAAACATTCTATATAAAATATGTTTACACATTTTTCATAATCTTTCATCCCTCTTAAACTTTGTATTTTTTAACAAAAAGAAAAAAATACCTAATGTATGGAACTTGCATAGCCAAATATGAATTTGTGACTACCTGGATATTCAATTGCCAAAGTTTCTTTGAATGCAGCAGTAAATATTCTCAGTTGATGTATCTTGCAATTTATTCATTTTATTAAAAGGTAGACAGACACTGAGTTATGCATAGACTCGACCAGGAAATCCTATAGCTTACCAACTCTTTCAGTGTCCTAGGAAAAGCTGGGATCCTAATCGTTCGCGGCACAAGGCTCAAACACCTGATTATTAGATCAATACTCGGGTACTTTAGCCCACTTAGCCATTGAGCACATTTTCTTGCAATTTAGCCTGATAAGTTAAGATTCAATTCAATTCTTATCATTTTTTCCCCTTATTTTTTCTAGGCCCTTACGTATGAGGCATACTACAGCACTCACATAATTGAAATGATTTCAGTTGGTGATTGCATTTGAGGTTCCTGAGATGCAAAGACACACAAAGAATACACAGTAAAAATAACTGGAAATACAAAATTATGTATAAACAAAGTGCATTTATGAGTACTGTTTAGAAAGAAGTTTCCAGATCCATAATTCATTCGGATGTAAGCTATATTACAATAAAATGTTTAAAAATAAGAACACCACTTGTCATGAAATCTGATTGTTAAAGTATATATATTTATGGAAAAAAATATATTCTCCTTAAGATGCCTGAATATATGTAACAACTTATCGTATGCTCTAACAGGATCATACACCTATCTTCTAACGATTTCATATTTTGTACCTATCTACTGTTTTAACAATTTCTTCATCTGCATAAACACATCTCATATATATTTACAAGGATCAAATGAATATGCATTTGTCTTCATGTTACAAGTTCATCTGTCTACAATAATTTCTTTTCCATTTTGGTTACGTTTTTTATTGCAAGGCTGTTCTTTTCCTTCAGTAACAAGGGTCATTCATAATGAAAAATGAAAAGAGAAAAAAAAAGTATGAGTACTCACATGAGCAAAAAAAAAAAAAAAAAAAAAAAAAAAAAA